GAGCAGCAGCAGAACGCGCCTCAGGCCTCAGTCATATCTCTAGGGCAGAGTCAGGTCTCCTAGCTCGCACCCTTTCACCAGGAACCTCAACTTACTTTGGGACCTCAGTGAAGAGGCATTTATCGATTTGTACAGGCAGTTAAATCCCTGGCTTGGCTGGAGAAACCTTCAAGTAACCTGAAATTCCTTAAAAAAAAAAAAAAAGAAGATGGGGTTCTAACAAAGCCAATTTAAAAAAAAAGCCTATGGCCAATGATTATTATTACTGCACTTTATGCAAATAATCAAACCAAGTATAATGAGACTAAAATCTATTTTACAAATAAGTTGGTACTGCTATGACTTGTCTTTAATAAAAATGGGAAACTAGAGAGAGAAAATTATGTCTCCAAAAAGAGAAAAGACCATTATTAAATCCTAGCCTTGTCCTTTTGTTTTTAAGTTTTTGTTATTTGTCCAAAGTTTGGACTAAATTCCGGTTATTTCTTAACTATGACATTAAAAAAAAAACACACAAAAAACACAGGCTATAATTTTCTTCATGACACCTTTATTTGACTCCCTAACACAATAGGTTCCTTTTTCCATTCTGATTTCCAAATTCTTCCTTAATTATCAAATTATTAAGGTTATTTATCTCTCATTTTACTTCCCCAAAAACCAGTCATGATATGCTGAAGACTAGAGATGATTCAACAAAGCGTTCCAATCTTCCTCATCTACAATCCCACTGGGCCTGGTTTGTTTCCACCGCCAAGGCCCTGTTGCTAGACAGACAGACCTTCCTCCCTCTAGGCCCAGGGACTACGGTGGAAGAGGGAGGCGAGTGAGATTGTAAGGACCAGTTTAATGGGTAGAATGGTCTTAACAAAATACTTCTGTTTTTATAACTAGTTGCTATAAGTCGGTAACTAAGACCAAGACTACAGTAGCTCAATACTTATAGGTAAGTTATTTTAATAACTTTGTTTTTGTCTTTTGGTTTTCAACTTGTATTATTTAAAAGGTTTTAAGGGACTAATAAGTACCTGTCTACTCCCATTCCCCCTGTCCCAAAACGTTTACTTGGCTCTAAGCCTTTATGGCTCTAAACCTCTTTTCCACCCTAGGGGTCCCACTGAGGGCCTAGGTGGATCTAGGACAGATAGCCACTCCACCCCATCAATTATGAGACAAAATAAAGTGTGGCCATGACTACTTTATCTGGCATTTTTTTTTTTTTTTTGAGACAGACCCTCACTCTGTTGCCCAGGCTAGAGTGCCATGGTGTCAGCCTAGCTCACAGCAACCTCAAACTCCTGGGCTCAAGCAATCCTTCTGCCTTAGCCTCCTGAGTAGCTGGGACCACAGGCATGTGCCACCATGCCTGGCTGATTTTTTTTATATATATTTAGTTGCCCAGCTAATTTTTTTCTATTTTAGTAAAGATGGGGTCTCGCTTTTGCTCAGGCTGGCCTCAAACTCCTGAGCTCAAACAATCCTCCCACCTTGGCCTCCCAGAGTGCTAGGATTACAGGCTTGAGCCACCACACCCAGCCTGGCATATTTTAGCCAAAAGGGGGAAATGTGAAATAAAAATAAAATCCTACTGGGGACCCCAGAAACACCTTAAAACTCAATTCCCAACCATGACAGGATGGGAGAGATAATGCACAACTACAAATGTGTGTGATTTCCCTTTTTCGTAAATACTCATGACTCCTCCTATAACTTGTTGACTGTGTATATTTGACCATCCCACACTTTTGTCTGTCCTTTGAAGCACAGTGCCGGGCTTCTGGCCGGGGCTCTGCCTGCCAGCCTGTTGGAATGGCCACCCAATAGACTGCTACCCTGTATGAGAAATAAAGCTCTCCTTTTTCCAAAGTATAAATCTTATTAATTTCTTTTAGTTAGCACTGATTAAAATAAAGCTTCCCAGGACCCAGCCTCAGTAGTGAAGAGCATTTAAACAAGCACCCTACGGGACTGATGGTGGCCCCTACACACGTTTGCTGAAGGTCTTCGTGCCATCTTTGTCCCTTCTGTGCAGCAGGTGTGGCCTGTTGGTAGAGCCAGGGCTTTGTTTGCACCATGGAAACCCCGAGGCCCCCGGGGTTTCCCTAGCCTTGGCGAGGATGTTGAGCCTTGTCTCCTAGGAATCCGAGACTGGGGCGGGGAATTATTTTGACTACACTGTAGCCAAAGGGAAAGCAGGCCTGATGAAAAACTAACCACTAGAGTCATTCCTTTAGAGGAGTCTAGGAGCTGCCTCAGACCCTGAGACCAAATGGGGGCCAGACTTAAGCTTTCCTACTCACTAAAACTGTAGCAAACAAAGAAATGTTTGGAGATAATTTTTCATATGATAAAAGTGTTCAGCTCTAGGTTCTTTTAAATAGCCATATCCCTTTAGCACTGACACATCCATTGAATCCCAGATCTACCCTTTAATAACTGTGTTTTGTGGCAAATTGCTTGCTCTCTTTACCAAACCTCTGTTTGCTCAGCTTCTCAATTTTTACTGGGAAATTTTCAAACCTAGAGCAAAGTTAAAAGGATAGTACAGTAATACCTGTAAATCCCTCATCTAAATTCACCAAGTGTTAACATTTTGCCACTTGCTTTCTCTCTCTCCATATATATGTATGTGTGCACATATTTTTATATACATATATATTTTTATATACATATACATGATTTCTTTTTGCCAAAGCATTTGAAAGTCACAGATATCATGACACTTAAATACTTAATAACAAAGACATTTCTCCTATAACCATAATATCATCATCACACCCAAGAAATTTGACATTGACATAGTAATATTTGCTAATGTATAAAATATATTTAAGTTTCCCCAATTCTCCCAAAATATCCTTTATGGTTTTTTTTTTTAAATCTAGAATATAATCAAGATTCACACAATGTATTTAATGTCTTGTTTCTTTAGTTTACTTTAATCTAGAATAGTCCCCCTGCCTTTGTTAGTGTTTTTCTTTCTTTTCTTCCATGACATGGGCATTTCTGATGAGTCTAGGTGAGTTGTCTTATAAAATGTGCCACGATCTGGTTTTGTCTGATTCAACTCAGATCAAATCCGTTTAGGCAAGAATATGCCATGAAGGTAGTGCTGTGCCCCTCCCATGGCATCGGGAGGCACACCACGTCTGTTGTCCCATTAGTGGTGACGCTAAGCTGGATCACTAAGCTAAGGTGCACGTCGCGCATTTTGACACCTGGTTACATTTAAGCGCTATGCAACCTTTATTGATCAGCTGAGTCAGATTATAAAGTTCTTGTGGGCAAGAATAGAGTCTTCTCCTTTGGAAAATAATGCTTTACAAGACTCTTTCATGCAGATTACCTCATTTGCTCATCAGACACCCAGGAAGGAGATATTTTTATCCCCATTTTACAGTAATACAGGATCTCATTATGCTTAGGTACTCTGACATTGAACCCTAAATCTGCCCTTTAATAAGTGTGTCTTGTGGCAAGTCTCTATAAAACCTCTATTTGGCCATCTGCAAAATGGGAGTAATATTGTCTTCCTCCCAGAGTTGTTATGAGGCCCAAAGGAGGGTATTGAAAACAAAATGCTTGCCATAATGCTTAGCACATAAAGAATACTCAAAAAATGAAAATGCTGTGTGTATAGAGCTAAACACATTGGCTGGGCGCAGTGGCTCACGCCTGTAATCCTAGCACTCTGGGAGGCCGAAGAGGGCCGATCGCTCGAGGGCAAGAGTTCGAAACCAGCCTGAGCAAGAGTGAGACCCTGTCTCTACTAAAAATAGAAAGAAATTAATTGACCAACTAAAAATATATATACAAAAATTTAGTCAGGCATGGTGGCACATGCCTGTAGTCCCAGCACTCGGGATGCTGAGGCAGCAGGATTGCTTGAACCCAGGAGATTGAGGTTGCTGTGAGCTAGGACACCATGGCACTCACTGTAGCCTGGGCAACAAAGTGAGACTCTGTCTCAAAAAAAAAAAACATAAACACATTATACGTACACACACTCAACATGCATGTATACACTGATACTCAGGAAGATCAAGGTCTGGCCTGTGGTCACTCAGCTGAGTAAATAGCAGAGCCAGATTCAACGCTCCATCTGCCCAACTCCAAGTCCAAATCCTACACCCGTTCTTCACACAACGCCTTCCTACTGGCAGTGGCTCAGCCAGCGTTGCCTTGTCTGAGCCATTTGATCAAAATCACTTGAATAGTGTGTAAAAATTAGACTTGATCTTATTTACATCTAACTTCACATCTTATTTACACCTACTTTCATGATGCATAGAGCATGGCGCTACTGCTCTGACTGTACAGGGTTGGCCAAGGGGCCCCACGCTGATGCCTTCTTCCCAGAACTCTGCCTGTGTGCCGCCCTCAGCGTGTTGCTATGTTGTGGTTGCTCACAACACACCCACCACACTTAGCAGCAGTCGCCATGCACCCAGGAGGCAGCACATTGTGGCTGGACAATTGTGCGTATTTGACCCCAAACATTCCTCTGCCCTGCCCTGCAGGGAATTGGTCCCACATAGGGACAGACTGGAGAATGGTCCTTGGTGAAAGTGGGGGAGAATTTAGGACCTTGAGGACAGGCAGAGTCCCTGAAAGCCCCCCCTCCCACAGGCTTTCACTGGAAATTCTCATTCCTATTTTCTCCTAAGCACCCAGCCCCAACCGAATCTCCGAATCTCCGAATCTCCGCAGGGGAAATTCACAGCAGCGGCAGACCACGGTTTCCAGTCAAAGGTTTTCATCCCACATGAACAAGTATGGGTCCAGTTAAGAACTAATGCCACTCAGCTGCGGTGGCGAAATGTGGGTTTGCTGTTCAGATGAGCGTCTAGGGTCCAGGGGAAGGAAAATCACTTCTAGCAAAGGTTTGACAGAGGAGATGGGCCTTGGGAAAGAGGTGAGGGGGCTGGAATTAGACCCTCGGGGAGGAGGAGGAGGAGGAGGAAGGCATTTCAGATGTGGAGGTGGGTGGGGGCACATAGCGTTAGTAAAGGCCAGAGGTAGGATAGCAGAAGGCCTGGTCAGAGCACTGGCAGGTGGCCTGTGCAGGGAGGAGCGGGAGGAAGCCCTCCCTTCCAGACACAGAGCAGGCCAGGGCTGTGGAGCGGCTGAATATTTCATTGATGGAAAATTGGATGTGGCCATGGTACTTAGGATGTGGATTCTAATTTCATGGCTGGGTGTACCCAGATGGCTGATTAGGCCACAGGAGAGAGGCTCCCTCCCCATGCCTGCTTTCCTGGCCACAGTGAGGATGCAGATACTGACCTTTCTTTCCCAGTGAGGTCAGCAGGTGTATGTGCTCTCGGTCTAGGAAGATGAACAACCCCCCCAGCCAAACCCCATCACACGATCGGCCCCAGTCTTACCCCAGCTCCATTATCCAGCGGACACACATTTCAAAGGAAATTGCACAAAGGAAATAGGGACATCTCTGCCCTTTGAGACAGGTTGGGGAAACAGACCCCTACCAGGTCTCTAACTGTGGAGACCACGAAGTGCTGGGCCTGAGCTTCACAGAGGAGCTGCCACCTGTGCTCACACATTCCCCAGACAGAGAGAAAGGGGAAGCTGCTAACCAACACTCAAGGAGGACTCACTCTGGGCTAGGCACCGTGCTGGCAGCTTGTTCTATACTACGAGTTTTAATCCTCACAGTTACTATAAAAAGGAGATATTGTAATTCCTAATTGCATAGGCAAAAGGCATTCCAGTAGGAACGTGTGCAAAAGAACGATGTGCGAGAACTTGGGATGGTGGGGATCATTCGGCACTTTGGAGAGGCTGGAGTGCGGAGGTGCAAGGGGGGCTGGCAGGAAATGAGCCTAGCAAGGTTGGCTGGGGCTCTGCATGTCAGGATGACACACTTGGACCTTGTCCACTTGGCTTTGGAGAACCTTTGAAGGGTAGTGAAAAAGGTGGGGCCAAATGTCCTCTTTCTCCCTTCCACCCTGTTGATGCCATATGCAGTCGACACATTTTGACTGCATACCTTTCAGTGAGCCGGGCGCTGTTCTGGGCCCTGGGGAACCAGCCACGAACAACACAAGGGCCTCCTCTCGCAGAGCAATAGAGAAGAGAGTAGTGGAGGCAGACAGACAATCACCTAGTAAGCAAATACGTAGATAAAAGAGACGGGCTTCCAATAGTGACAGGTGCTTTGGCAAAACAAAAACACAGAACTGGGACACAGAACCATGGGGGAGGGGAAAAGACTGCTTGAGTTGGGACAAACAGGGAAGGGCTCTGGGAAGAGATGACATTTGAGCTGGGACCTGAAGGGTGAGGGGGCGGACAGGAGAAGACATGAGGAAGGGCATTCCAGAAGGAGGCACTTGCAAAGCCCTGAGGCAAGAACTAGTTGAATGGGTTCAAGAAGCATGAAGTGGGGCCGGGGAGGGAGTGGAGTCAGATGGGAAGACCCATAGGCCAAGGTCTATTCTAAAATTCCAAGGAGTTGGAATTTTATTCTTCAACACTCAGCTCAAGACCCATATCCATCCCTACCCTGCAAGGTTGTCCCTACTGACCCGGCCTTCAGGGTAAGTCTCGGAAGCCCCTTCAGCCCCCTCATAGCGCTTGTTTGAGCACCTCCCGCAGTGCCTCATCTGCCTCCCTCTGCTTTCCCTGAGAGCTTGTGGACATAGGACCCCAGGCCCTCTCCCACAGTCTCCCTCTACCCAACCTTCAGGGACTCAGCCTGCCCTCCATGCATAGGAAATGTAATACAGTCCTGCTGAGCTAAACTAGAGCTAGAGCTGGCCTTGCTGCACCAGGTGGCAGCCACCAGGCTATGGGAAGTACCCCCAGAGAATCGATGGCACCATGAGGGGATGGCACTGCTGCCTTAGGCGGTGGGGGGAGCTGGGGCTTCCTCGTGCTCCCCGGAGTAAATGAAGCCCAGATGGCGTGGTCATTGTCCTCAGACTTTGGGCTATTAGGAGGTCTATTAAGGATGCAGTAACTGAGAGGAGGCAGAGACCACAGTTTTCTTTCCTGGGTTTGAGCAAAACACTCAGGGAATTTGGTGTCTGGGTATTTTCCAGCAAGGTTCTTGCTTTACAGAGGGATGGCTCTCCAGCCTCCTATCTGGGCAGAAATGGCAACATTGGGGTGGTCACCCTGGGAACAGCAGGGTGGGCTCCTTTCTGCCTGGAGTGTTGGGACTCATAGCTGTCTGCATTTTCCCGTGCCAACTTGATCATTTTTCCTCAAAGAGGAAGCCCCTGAGCCCCATCAGGAAGACAGAGATGTGCTTCTGAGCAGTGTCATCGGGAGTGAGAAGGATAGCCACTGTGAGAGAGGACCCAGGTCTGCTGTAGGAGAATCAGGCCTTGGGTGTGTTTATGATGATCATTTACTTCTGTGAATTCCTATTTCCTCTCCTCTGCCTGGAGCTACCATTGGTATGGGTACAAGGGGCTTAGGAGAGGGGTTAGGGGGATATTCAATTTTTCCCATTTCAAACCTGAAAGTAAGTTAAGTTCTTAGAGAATGATGTTCCATGCTACTGACATTCCTGGGCCATGAATGCTGCTCTTCCCCAACAGCCAGGATAAGGGCCCCTAACTTTGGACAAAGCCCGAGCTTATTCAAATAAGGACTAAGCCAGTGAGAGGCACAGAATGGAGCAGCCAGAGGAAGCAGTCCCAGAATCCCAAGTCTGGAAATGAGGAAATGCCAAGGCCATACAGGATAGATGGTAGATGTTTGGAGAATATTCTCAGGGATGGATTCCTTTCCTTTCACCCATGAACCATTGCAGAATTTCATCCTTTTGGCAGCCAACACAGTTCCTCTTTCTCTAACCCGACCCCTCTGTTCGAGGGTCAACTCCTGGCCACTCCCCCATAGGCAGGAAGAAGACATGCTTATACCCAGGGCTGATGAGTTCTCAGGGAAACTAAGTCAGCCCAAGTCATCTCTTCCCCAGTCATAGAATCTTGAGCCCTTCCAACTTATCTGTTTTTCCCCATCAGTAGTCAGACTGGTGTTTGTCCTGACATGAAGTAGGAAGAGGTGGAATGCTGGCAGGGAGGTTTATCATGCCCCAGCCTCTGGACCATGGAGCTGGAGAAACAGAGAAGGCTGAAGTACAAACCTGGAAAGCCCAAGGAGTGATCTCCTCAAAAATGAGCTGAATGTCAGGACTGGAGCAGATGGGCGGGGGCCTGCAGGTCGGTCCTGGAAGGAGACTTGGGAAACCCAGCAGCAGCTAGGCCAGGATTGGAGCAAGGGCCTAGCCTCATGACTGCACCAGCCTGGAGGTGGGAGGGAGGGACAGAGGGGGTGAGGGTGGGCTCTGGAAGAGCTGAAGTCCAGAGGCTGCCTTAGGACCTGGCCCAACGCCAACGCATGTTCCTGGCATTCAGAGAAGGAGGCAATCAGAGCCTCCCAGCCTTCAAAAGAAGCGGGCTATGACTAGTCTTATTGCAGTAGCCCTGTCCTGTTTCTTCCCCCTAGGAGTCATGGCAACAACCTGGGACCCTGGAGAATAATTTCATATCCACCTCACTTGCTTAGAAGACCTCCTTCCATCTTTCCATTCTCCTTCGGATATTCCCTAAAGCCCAGCTTTCTGAGAAGTGACAAGAAAGGAAAGTGTTTTTCTAATTTCACAGAACAGAGCTTTACTCCCGGCCAGAGCCTCAGATGAGGCAGAACTTGAGGCCATGCGTGTTAAAGAGTGCAAATCCATCCTCACGAAATTTCCAGAGGTTCCATCTCAAGCATCCTTAGGCAAGTAAAGAGGAATTCAGTGCTCTTCCCCGCCTGCTCTCTCTGCCTCTCTCCCCCCACACACCCTCCCTCGCACCCATTTCAGAATCCTCTCTTTTTCGGCTGCAGTCCCTGCCTCCTCCCCCTCCCTCCCCTCCCTTCTCAGCAGGAGCACACCAGGACAAGGAGATGCTACTACTACTGGAGCCTCCCAGCCAGGAGAACGGATTTCTCAGAATAAGCAGTTAATACAGACCTGGCCACAAAGTTGTCACTGTGAGCACGCTTCTCAGTCTCCCCATGTCTAATGTAACCCAAGAAATGATGCAGTTGCCTCTAGTGGCCTTCACCCAAACTGTGCCCCAGGGTGCTCTGGGGAGCTGGCTCTGCTGTTTTAGGAGAAGGCTAACTCACTGTTTGTGGCAGGGGGCTGCCGATATGGTCAGTTCCCAGGGATCAGCTGCTCAGGGGAGCTTGAGAAGGGCACCTACAAAACATAAGTGGGCTGCAGAGAGTCTGGAAAACACCTGAAACTGAATGCATATGTTTGTGGGGACCTTCTTCTAGGAGATGAGGACCTATTTCTTTTGTCGGATTATCAGAGGAGTCAGAGACCCTCAAAATGGTTACCAGTTTGGGGTGTCAGATAAAACAAGAAATTGAAATGTTTTTTGATCCCCAATGAGTTTGAGTTTTATGCAATTCCTTGTATAAGAGAAAAGCCTGAGTCCATGGAAATCAGGTGGAACATCCTGAATAATATACAGTTCCTTGGATAGCCACCGAAGCAGGAGACATGATGTCACTTTCAGAAAGGAGACTGCTTAGCAGTCTGAAGTGAGAGGAAGAGGAATGAGGAGAATCGCTGGCCTCCAACCCCCAAGGAGGGGCTGGAGCACCTTTCTGGGACACAGTCTAGACTCTGCCCCAAACATGCAGCTCCAAAAGACATGCTGTGCAGGTTCCAAGCTGCCAAATAAGAGGTCCTTAGAGAGAATCCACCCCAAGCAGCCCAGATGGTATCTGGGTATCCTGTGCCCTACTCGGCAGCCCAAAGTCTAGAGCCCACTGCAGAGCCCGCTGCAAGGCCAGAGCAAAGACAGCTCAAGTGCCACCAAGCCCAGCCTTCCCTGATCACCCATGGAAGGGGGAAGGGAGAACAGGGGCCTCCACTCATCCACCCACCAGCTTCTGAGTCCCTTTAGCTCTTGGCATGGTAATTAACGGTCAGGAAGTTATGCATCAGCCTCAGCAAGCTAACATGGCAGGAGCTCCCTCCTGACAGCAGAGCTAATAAGAAATTTGCTAATGCAATTTATCACTTTAAAAAGCCATATGTCGGTGGGGATGAGCACTTCTCTGCAGCAGCCAGTGTAATTGTCAGAGCAGAGCAGCAAGCAGCTCTCGGAAGGGGGTGAGGATGATGTCTTCACTAAATCAGTGGTGCAATGCAGCAAGGGGCTGGGAGGAGGGGTGCAGTGCTGGGCCAAGGTCCCAGCCCTCCTGCTCCTGGGAAGCCAATATCTGCTGGCCTGTTCCAAGGACCCGTTAGGAACCAGATGGGCCCTGAGCAGCAGCCCCTGCTGCCTTTGAGCTACCTGAACCTGCACTTTGGTTCCTGCTGCAGTATTAAAATAAGAAGCAACTCTGCCTGCAGTGACAACTGATCTAAGTCTCAGCCAGCGAGTGTCAATACACCAGACCCCATTCCAGTTCCTGGAGGCGGTAGGGCTGATGCCATGTGCACATTTGCTCTTTCTCTCCCAAACCCCTGCAATGACGTCACCCAGGACAAAAGCTACCAGTCCTGAGTCTGAGGCAGGGACAGATTAGAAATCCACCTCAGGCCAAAAAGCTCTCTGCTCCCAGTTTAGACAAAAGGCTGGAATATCCAGTGTTTGGCAAAAACAAAGAGTGGTTTCAGGCCAGGCATAGTGGCTCATGCTTATAATCCTAGCACTTTGGGAAGCTGAGGCAGGAGAATTGCTTCAGGCCAGGAGTTTGAAACTAGCCTGAGCAATACAGGGAGACTTGGTCTCTATAAAATGTAGAAAAAATTAGCCAGGTGTGGTGACACATGCCTATAGTCCAGCTACTCAGGAGGCTGTGGTGGGAGGATTCTTGAGCCCAGGCAGGAGTCTGAGGATGCAGTGAGCTATAATGACATCACTGTACTCCAGCCCTGTCTCAAAAGAAAAAAGAGTGGTTTCTGCTGAGATTGTGGGATCTTGCTTCAAAAACTCACTGCAAACTGTTTTCCCTCAATCACGAGAAGCAAGGAAACCAAGTACCCCTGTGGAAATGGAGGCCAGGGCTGCTGGGAAGGCTGTGGGAAGGACCAAGAACGTCTATATGGCTGGATCCTGATGCTTTCTGGAATAATCCTCACTCTCAGTTCTCTGTGGGAATAAGAGGGGCTGAGGGAATGGTAAGGCAGGGCAAGACACCAGCACCCAGAGAAACATCACACTGAGTTTCCACCAACTAACATTCCGCTAAAGCAAATTTTGATACTAAATGTTCACTATCCTTTAAATTAATGTTTTGAATTTTGTGTGGAGACACTCAAGAAATACAAAGCACAAGGACCTAGGTAATACAGTAGAAAGAAGAAACGCCACACTAGGATCCCAGACAGCCCAAGGTGTGTGTTCCACCCCTGGCTGGTTCCAAGCTGCCTTCCTGTTTAAGACCTTCTGCTCTGCTCACGCTATGGGAATGGCAGGGTGGGCAGGGGGACACACAGTCCACTGACTCCCTCAGCCTTCAAGAATTGGTATGACTTCTTTATGATTCTTACCTGAAGGAGCAGAATTTTTCAGCAACACCCAAACTCCCCAATGAAATGAGGCCACCTGTGTGTCCTCCAGAGGTTCCCAGGGCCCCTTTATGTGCCCTTTAAAATATGCTTTAATATCTAAGGTCCCTGGCCAGGCGTGGTGGCTCATGCCTGTAATCCTAACACTCTCGGAGGCTGAGGTGGGAGGATTGCTTGAGGTCAGGAGTTCGAGACCAGCCTGAGCAAGAGCAAGACCCCCATTTCTACTAAAAATATTTTTAAAAATGTGGACAACTGAAAATATATATAGAAAAAAAAATTAGCTGGGCATGGTGGCACATGCCTGTAGTTCCAGCCACTCGAGAGGCTGAAGCAGAAGGATCGCTTGAGCCCAGGAGTTTGAGTTTGCCGTGGGCTAGGCTGACACCATGGCACTCTAGCCCAGGCAACAAAGTGAAACTCTGTCTCAAAAAACAAATAAAATATCTAAGTTCCTATCCTTAGACATACCATAATTGTATTTATGCATCAATCTCCCTGGTTCTCCTGCCATGTTTCTTTTTCCAATTCAATCTTAATGCCAGGGGGGAGGGGCAGCATGGGCAATATACATAACCTTAGCATTTGTACCCCCATAATATGCTGAAATAAATAAAAGAAAAAACGTAATGCCATTTCTGCCAAGTTCTTAAAGGATAACCTTGTAGATGTTTGGCTAGGACTATACCAAATTAATAGATGAGTGTGGAGAAAATTTTTCACTTTGTTAGGGGAGGCAAAATTTTTACCTCTACCCTCTTAGATTTTTAGGGATGGCCAAGAATGAAATTGACATAAAACAGATTAACAGGAGATAAGCACATACAGTTAGTTACTGTGAGTTTTAGATGACATGGGAGTGCTCATAAGGAAAAGAAGAGCCAAAGAAGCAGTTAGAGTCAAACACTCATATATGGGGTTGAACAGAGTTTCACAAAGTAACTTGTGAAAATACTGCAAGGCAAGGGGGCTTGGGCGAAGGTAGTTAATTACGGAGAAGTGACTAGGAAGATGAGGGTTGGTTTATAAGGTCGGTTTGCACATATTTCTCTCAGCCTTGACTCCTTGTCCCTGATGATAAGAATGTTGCCTTCCTCCTGGTATAGGAAGCACATCTTCCATATGGGAGTTTTATTCCTGCTTTCAGGAAGAAAAAGGGGAAATCAGGGTACCCTTCTTGTACCTGCTATTTTTCAAGTGCCTTTAGCTCAAAATAATCCGTATGCCAAAGTAGCATATTTTGAGGTGGCGTATTCTGCCACCCCTCAACTTTTACAAAATTGAGTCTTTCTATTCAAGTTAGAGTATATTTTTCCATTTAAATAAAATCTTGCTGTCCAAGTACTTTTAAAAACTTCATATTGGCTCAGAATTACCTTGCTTGAAAGCTTATTTGGCAAAGAGCCTGCAGAATCTCACCCGCTAAGCGGGTAATGTGTTACTTCTTTCCTTCCTTGGTTATCAAATGAATTACCTTTTTTTTCTTTTTTTAGAGACAAGGTCTTGCTCTGTTACTCAAGCTGGAGTGCAATGGTGCAATCATAGCTTACCGTAACCTTGAACTCTGGAGCTCAATTAATGCTCCCACCTCAGCCTCCTGAGTAGCTGGGACTACAGACACATGCCACCACCTCCAGCTAATTTTAAAAATTTTTTTTATAGAGATGAGGTCTCATTATATTGCCCAGGCTAGTCTTGAACTCCTGGCCTCAAGCAATCCTCTCGCCGTGGCCTCCTGAAAGGCTAGGATTACAGGTGTGAGCCACCATGTCCAGCCAAGTGAATTGCATTTTAAAAGGGGGTTTCCTGAGTGCCTTAACTTAAATCAAAAGGCACTGGGACGAACAGCGACCTTGAGGTGTCTGGGCCCTGACCTCTGACCTAGGCTCTGGTCCTGGAGCCCCCGTTGCTCTGGTTCTGTAGCACATTCAGGAAGGCAGTCTCTACTCCAAAGCCAACTGAATTAAAACTCCTCTTTCCTTCACCTAGTTAGCAGTGAGCACCTCTGGGTCCCAGGGAGGAGAAGCAAGGAAGGTGTCAGGACTCGGAACACGAGATATGGCACCTCGGCATAAGCACAAGAGTCTCTCTCTGACCTTCTCCTGCCTTTCCCCCCAAGGCCTTTCCTTCCTTTCTCCCATGAAGCCCCTCGTGTGACAGGTGTCCTGCCGTCTACCCAGAGGACAGGAATGAAGACAGAGATACAGAGGAGAATCTGGACTAATAGGCCTGGCCAAGTCCCCCCAGCTTATCACCGTGACATTATACCCTTTTTGTCCTGTCGTGCTTCTTCACTACTGCCCTTTCTTCAACCTAAGCATAAAAATACAGTTTCCTCTAGGTCTTGGGTCCTCATTTCTGAAGGCTCCTGTGTCAAATAAAACCTTGGTTAAGTAAATTTGTTATGCTTTTCTCTTGTTAACCTGTCTTTCCTTACAGAAGTGTCAGCTGTGACCCTTGCAGTGGGTGAGGGAAAGGGATTACTTTTTCTCCCCTGCAAAGGTAAAGTCCCTGCCTTTAGGGCACGTGGTTAGGGGTTAACTGAGAGCCATTGGTGCTGAGGAAAACCCTGCCCTGCCTCTGATTCTCCAAGTTATAGCCCCTCTCACATTTTCCTCACGTAACCCCTCTGCAGGGTCGGCTTTATGGGGCGTGACCTGTGCCGTCACGAGGAGCCCTGGGCTTAGATGGCCCCTACACTTGGTTTAATACTCTTCTGTGTTGCATCTTGGTTTTTTTAGTAATTTTGGACAAGGGACCCCACATTTTCATATTGCACTAGACCAAATTATCCTGCCCCCTGTAACACTTTGAGGCTGAGAGACGGTAAGGAACCACCCAAGTTGCACTCGGGGCTGGCTGTGGGTCAGCATCCAAGCCCAGGCGAGACCGGTGCACGGCCAGGCCATTTGGCAGCCTCTGCTGCAGCCCCCTCTGCATTCAGCAGCACACAGGGCCTCACTTCCACCTGCTACTAGTCCTGGCTGGTCGATTTTTAAGGGGGACACCTCACAGGGGACTCACTGCTCCCTTCCTCGGCTCCTCCTCCTCCCCGCCCGCCTCCCGAGGTCGAGGCTATCACTCGGTCCACTTAGCGAGCCCTCAGCAAAGCTTGCTGGCTGTCATCTGGGCCACCTCAGGGCCAGGCCTGCTCAGTGTTTCCAGAGTTTAGACCTCAGCAGTGAGTGAGCAGCCTGCGTTCTCTCTCCAGATTGCTGCCTCTCTCAAGACCTCCTGGCAGTCTGGGCTCACAGGAAAGAGCACTTCTAGACCATAAGCAGGAGCATATCCGGTCTCCTGAGCAGAGGAAGCCAGCATGCAGGAGAAGACACAGGCCAGAGCTCCTGGGCCATACTCCGCACGGGTCACTTAGCTGACAAGCAGTGCAGTCAAGGAGGGCGGGCAGGTGGGCTCCAGCCCAAAAGCTCAGGGCCACGTGTTCTAGGAACCCTCAGGATCTCCCCTCCGTCATCCCCTTCAGCCAGGAGGATGAGGCAGCTTGAGCAAGAAAGGGGTCAGGACACTGCTGGGAGGGTAGCGGCTCAGTGAGCTCCCCGGGATGTTCACTTTTCTAGGGTGCCTGTCCTCTGGAGGCCTGCCTGCAAGCATTCTGGCAGCAAGAGGAGGACACATTTGTAATTTCCCGACTGAAGAGGTAGAAGGAATATGTTTAACTGTTTGACTCCACTCATCCATTCATGCATTCATCCCTTCATTAATTGAGTACTTGGTGAATGCTTATTTAGGGACCGATGTTCAATGTTATGGGACTGCTGAAAATTGTCAGCTGTGGTCTGGCCTGCAGAACTTAGGATCTACAGGAAGAGTCGAAGGTGGGATACATGAGTCAATGGAATAGAATACAGTCAAATGGAACATAACAGGAGCACTGCTACACTATGTGGCAAGACAGTAAGTGCTGAAGGCACTTTAACAAATGGTTCCTGAGGACATTCTGTGCCAGGCTGTGCTAAGTTCCAAGGGGTACAAAATATATGAGTCATGGGCCCTACACTGGAAATGCTCAGTTCTAATTGGGGACACACCCACTGGGGGCAATTTTGATATGCACAGGGCTTGGTGGCAGCACAAAAGAGGGCCCTTGCACCCAATCCAAGTGACGTGACACCTGAGCAGAGTCAGGGCAGCC